CAAAAATTCGTCGGCTTATACACGGTACTATACGGTGCATACATTGTTGCGTGTTGCATTTACGGTCCGTATGTCTGGCATGTGACACGCAATCTTCATTAGGCCACAGTTTGCTTTGAAGCAAACCTCTGTCACTTCGATTACTGCAGGGAGATTGCAGTGTTGTCTTGTGAAACACTATATCTTCTATTACCATGTACAGGCACGCGCAATGAGAGGGAGAATCTGACTGTAACTGTTTATATTTCGATGGCCCAAGCACAGCCCCGTCAATTCGAAGCTTAAAAATCTTGCTGTTAATAAACTCTACCGTCCGCAACATTGAATCCGATCAACGTTTGCTAAAATGTGTCCAATACGCTGCATTTATTACTTGTTATCGGTAAAACTCTGTTACGTGAAACTCCGAAGCTTTGGGTGTATGAAATTCTTAACTACCCTGTTGCAAAATGCTTCTTACTTTAAGAAGCATCAACCGCAATGATATGGGCAGCGCTGACAGAAATTAGCCCCGCTGGCTGTAAACATGGGTTGGTGAAGTTATCGCCGGCCTCGAACGCTTCCGGCGCGTGGATGAGCCGCTCAATTACACCATCTCCTTCGGTTATCCAGTCACTGTGTCCGGTAATTGGTGTGTCGAGTTCATAGAAGCCATCTACTTCACGCGAAACTACTGCTGTCATCGGAGCTCCACTTATAGCGTAAACTTGCACTATTAACTACCTCGATACATAATTTTCACCCTTAATTTCAAGCTTCTAGCTGTGCTTGGCTAGCACACCATAACCTTTAGTAGAGATAACCTGGAGATAGTAACTAGATCCGCCTATCTGGTTGTGGGCGCGCAAACGGCATCATGGTTATGCAGCGTATTTGAATCCACATCAGCCCTTGCTATGTAAGATTCTGCGTGGCGCCTGTTTGCTTTGCAGAAAAGAAGCCGACGGTGGAGTTGCTTTGAACAGGTCGGAAAACATTAAAATTCATCCTTCGGAACAACGGATGCATTAGGTTGTTGGGAAAGTTATTTCGTTTTTTGGATGAGAATGATGAATGCTTTTTTGCAGCGAATAAATATTTTATTGAATTATATGTTGTCTAATATTGTCCAATCTTGCCATCTTTCTCGCCGTAGCTTGAGTCCACGCTCATAATAGGCTTGTTCTTTGCTGGCAAAAATCTGATCCAGATGATTTTTGGCCTCCTCATTTGAAGTAAACTTTTACCGTCTACAACTGTTTTTAGTGACAGAAACAAATAATAATCAGAGGGTGCCAGATCTAGAGAATATGATGGGTGTGGCAGTATATCCTGCCCAAGTAATACGAGCTTTTGGCGAGTTACCAAATTTGTGTGAGGTCTCGCATTATCTTGATGGAGCACCACACCTTTCCTATTGATTACTTCTGACCTTTTCGGTTAAGTGAATCATTCAATTTGTCCAGCTGATGAAGGTACACTGCAGGATTGATCGCTGTGTTGTCCAGTAGAAGGTCAATAAAAAACGCTTCCTTTGAAATCCTGACAAATAGCATCAATTTTTGATGAATATCGGTTTTAAAAATGGTTTGAGTCCGTTCATCTTTTATACTTCGTGATCTTTTGCCTTCAACATTACTGTTGACAATTCATTTCTCGTCCCATCTGATGATGCGCTTCACAAATAGATCCTTTTTTGACGTTTTCGAAGTAACTCATAGACGTCAAAGCGACTGCACAAATTCCTTTCCATAAAAACATGAAAAATCCAGATATCGAGCTTTGAGATGAAACCTAGGCCTTTCAGATAATCAGGAACGGTTGGATTGCATAAATTTAATCTCAGCGATCCCACATGCTGTTGTTCGCCGGCTTGAATCAGTTAAAGCCACTTACTTAAATGTGCTGCAATTAATTACTTGTGAACGCAATGAAATTAACTACTTATCTACTACAGGATCGAAAGTTTGCAAAGCAGTTTTGACACTGTCATTCTGTCAGTACACCTTCTCTATACACATCTCATAAATTTTTATCGATTGAACAGCATTTTTACCTTTTCGATAGCAACAAAGTAAAATATGCCGAAACTGCTGTTTTTCAATTCCCATATTTGAAATGGCAAAAATCAAAAACTACTGCAGAGAATAAATCGAACATATGCACAATCAAGGTTTGCTCTATCACTTGTCGAAATATATAACGATTATGCAGATTAAGCGTGACGCTTGTTGTGAAAAAAATAATAAATACATGAAACCAAAAAAACCGAAATTACTTACCGAACAACCTAATACATGAACAGACGATTTCCCATCACAGCTACTTTAAACAACTATGACTGAACTGCCAGGGTATAGAAATGTTTGTGGTACATTCGATGTAGGCGGCAAAACCACAATTCTTACTGCGACTGGTTGCCTTATACCAATCTCTGTCCACAGCCATATTGAAAACAAAGCCAAGGCCTGTGTTCATGGGTCTTATGATCAATTGGGCATTTTCGTAGCCACGAATCTGAGGCTTATAAATAAAGCTGTACTTCCGCAAACTTATGTTAGTACTCATTCCGGAGCCTCGAAACTGATAAGCATACATATGTTACAGTGAACGTTATGCGTACACTTGCCGAAAACCTTCCTCCTCTTCTCCTAGGAAATTTTGCCGCCGCTGAACTGAGATCTTAGTTACTGCTTAAGAGCGCGATTGAGTATTACGTACACATATTCTGGTTCACTGGGTTTCTTCTTCTTTAAATTTAAATTTAAATTTTTTTCCTTTTTTATTTTCAAGCCTGTTTGATTTCGCATCTTGATAATTGGCAAATGGCCTCTGCAGCGCTAGACTATTATGCAATTTTTATTTAAGGATGAACTGTGGTTATTGATTTTCTGAGAAAAATCTCTCTGCGGGTAACCTCGAAGCCAGTTAAGCGTTTAAGATCATTTACCGTTTTGTAATAAGACATGCTTTATCCCCTAAGCATCATAGTGGAAAACGAATTCTGTATTCTTACCTGCCTATCGCATAGAAAACCACCTGTGACGCAATTATATGTCCAATGGTTTGTTGTCCTGATGAGTCGTTAACAAATCTGATGTAGTTTAGTAGCCAGCGTGGTTTTCGCCACTTTGTCATTTTCTTACGTTTACTCGTTCTTTACCACAACATTTGTGTTTGTAACTTGTGCAGAAGCTTCCTTGAGATCTGATATTTTTTACCCCACGATTAATTATACTTCATCGTAATTGCTAAGTTAGGGATAGTTTGAGGTCAGTCGCTCCTAATATCCATTCTCCTCATTTAAATGGCTATCGTAACGATGGAAACGGCGGACGCGATATAAAGTGCGTCGCATACCACGTCGTATTGCTTACGTGCTTCAGTTGTGCAAAACTAGTCAGTTGTTCCCATATTGACAAGGATGCAGGTCGCTGCAACCGGTATGCCACAGTTCCGGCGGTTGTACTAGCGAAACATGACCGGAAACACGGCGTTTCGACATCATGAACCTCCCCACCCTACCGATATGCATGGAGTATCTCGGGTAAGTCACACTCACTGAGATTCAACTGGGATAGTTGAACCGATGGATGGCATGAATGTATGCCGCCGTAAGCGCAAACTGATTACTATTGCCTTTCTGAGCTCAAAATTGAGCCAAGTTGCATATTCATTTATTGTTACCAGATGAAAGAGTTTAGGAACAATTGTTGGGATAGCAGATAGTCTGTTGCTTCCATTGAAGAAACCAGTGCACTACGAATCCACGAGGAGTCAAAGGCCTACGCTAACGCCACAACTCGCACTACTTCAGGATGGATTATAAATATCTCATAAGCAGCAAACGGGCCTCCTTGACGTAATCTAACTGGTCGGATTAGTGCTTATAATGTGTGAGCAGTTTTGACAGAGAAAAGTTGGTGTCCATAGCCAGATTTCGATTAATAACCTGACGTATGTGTGATCGGTGGTTTTGTGTGCCCACTTTTCCGTCATTCACGGGGAACGAAAAAAGAAACACTAATCCTCTCGAGGAGCAATTGGTGAATGAGAGCATACGTCGATTTTGACGGATTATTATAACATTCAAAGAACGTTTGGTGTTTGGATATTAAGTTGTTGCATCTCAAAATTGACGAATCCTACCTATTAAAATTTTATAATGAAACAAAGCTCTGAGGATCAGCCCTGTCCTCTGCACCTCCATAACATGCAGGACAGTGCAGGATGAGCCGCGCTAGATCGCAGTTCGTTATCAGTCATGGCGATTTGCTGCCATCGCCCATAGTTCAGTGACATAAGTCGCTGACTCGCAAGAGTAAGGTCGTGGCTTCGAATCCGGCAGGATTCGGCGGGTGCGCGCTACCACCGGGTCCCAATAGGACGGAACGGCCGTCTTACGCTTTCCTGGATGTGTGGTGGCTGTCTGTCTGTGTCTCACTGCGACGAATCTACACGAAAACTAATTTGGAAGTTTTCATTTTCCGCTGCTTAATACTGAACAAAGTTGTCGACTGAAAATGAAGGAACAACTGAACAATGGCTTATGACGAGTACAAAAGCACAAGCTTAACGTGTTCTGTAGGTTAGTAATGGAAGGAATTGTAAATTCGCGTATTGCACAAGTGGACAAATTAAAACGCACATTGGTGGATAGATAGAGTAATTTTACAACAATAATATCGCTATGTAGGTGAGATGGTACCATGCAAACAGGTTAAAAAGTTGTGTCGGTTAATACTTATGGGAAATAACACTCGGACTGCCGAGCCGTCTACACAGATTTAAGTGCGCCAATGTGGATTATAATTCCAATGAACCGAGTTAACCTGAATGTATCATGATTATCTGTTCAGGTTACGAACTGCAGGATGCTCAATGCATAGAGTTGCGCAGCTGGATAGCTACACAGTTACACGTTAGGTTTTGCATGAAGCTGAAACGCAGTACACCTAATTCCTCTATCCTTTGGCACGTGGATCGGGTTAGCAAATTGGTTCTACTAGAATTGTAACTTCATGGCTGAATTTGCTTCCAGCAATCAAGCCGATACGGTATTTTGCGCTGCTGAAAATTCCGCAGGAGTTAACTCCCATACTAAAATGTTACCACTACCTCAGGATGAACAGGATGCCCTCAGCCCCGTCCAAGTTGGCGTCTCATTTGCCGGAATCTTGGTCTTTCGAAGCAGCAAACCGAGTTTCCAATTAACATGGTGAGTATTTGATAAATGTTTGCCTTTACTCACCTAACAGTTTGTGTTTCTGAGTGGGTAGGTCTCTTTCTAGAGTTAAATCTGCAAGTTTTTCTTATTAAGATAACATCTGCTTCCATCATGAAGCCATTTTTACTCTGCTGAATTTTGTACAACGTGCAACCTGTGCGGGCACAAACCAACCAGTTTAATTTAGCTATTCCATAATGTACTCTGAACAACACAATTGTTTCGACATCGACTCCGCCTTATGGGGGTTGTTGGTCGGTGGTTGAGTAGTTCAGCTTTCTCTCATGTACTCCACAGGTCATCGACCCGCAGTGTACACAGTTCACACGGGACTGGTGATGGTCGCGTGGCCTTGAAGCACAGAAGCGATGTCCCGACGTATTTATGCACTGGGTCGGAGTGTTACCCACTCTTGTGTAGTTGTTATGCTGGATCTTAAATGGCGCTATTAAGTCTATACCGAAGTCGCCTACCATTACGCTGGAATGATAAGTTCCTTTGAACACAAGACAACTGCGTAGAGTGCTTCAGCAGTCACCACGCAACCTAAACATGTACGAAACGGCGCCTTGTTGACAAATGTGTGAGGTCAGTTTAACCTGCCTCGCCATACACACAATCCGAATGAACACTTTCCCGCCGGTCACTGGGGTATAGGTGAAGTGTTGCACCTCAAATGTAACGCGGTTGTTTCAAATGGGATTTTCTAGTTTAATTCGGTTACGTGGCCACTTCTGAACCATATCCAGTTACACATGCAAGATACTTTCATCTGATGAAGCACTGTTGCATTTTCTTTAGCTACTCTACCTACCATTTCGATCAAACACTTTCCGAATGATTTCCCGTCGGTTCACTTTCGATGCTGAAAGTTACTAGCCCCCAGGCGAAAGTGCCCACGTGGCTTCAGTCATTCAAACTTTATCCGATTGGAGTAAATTGTTCTACCTCGGTTGTCTTGAAAGGAAAACAGTTCTGTATTTCTTTCTGTGTTGTGTTTCGGTTCGGCCAGTGCTAACTGAAGGGACAAGATGAAGACGAGTTAAGTCGAGAGGAGTAGTATTAGTAGCAGTCATCACAAGACTTCACTAGGCTTCAGATATGGTCCCAGTAATATAACTGTTCGAGTTTGGCTTCAAAGTGACTCTGACTTGGGTTGCGAAACACAATCACAATTCGGACCATCATCATTATCATTATACACGTTAGCTACAGATGCAAAACACCTCAGCTACTGCGCCGCAATACATAGAAGAAAAAAGAGAAATAAATACAAAAGTTGCATGCCAGCTGAGCTACCAGCAAGGAATGGGCATCGTTCTGATAAGCTACCAGCTGGTTACTAGGTAACAAGAAAGATTATGATGTAAAATTATATTATGATACGAAACGAGATCGTAGGTGGAGGGGAGGCTAAAAGGGATGGAGAGGGACAAAGAAACTCATAGCAGGAACGCGACTGAGGTCGGCTCCTTGCCATGTCAGCAAGTGTATCTAGCCAAACGTGTTCATCATCTTTTGAACCCCAACCAGGGAGCCGTGACGCTCCAACCGAGGCCAGCCCTGACTTGAGGGGCTTCATTCCTCTGGACCAACTCATCGCCTGGCTACCCCTCCTCTTCTTCCATCCACATCCCCGGTGAGCAAACAACGCAAGTCCCCGGACTCGGTGGGCTGGCATGCGTAACACGTGGCCGGGCGATCGGAGCCTGGTGCCTGAAATGACGGTGCTGAGCGTTTCAGTTCCTTTTCTTGTGCCGCAAGGCGTCGAACACGCTCGTTACTCACGCGGTGTTCCCACCAGATGTGAGCCAAACTGCGAAGGTACCGATGGTCAAACGTAAATAGCCTCTTTATGTCCGCTGCTCTAAGGGGCCAGGTTTCTAACCCTACAGTAGAGTCGAACGTATCACTGCATTGTACGCTCGATCCTTCATGGCGAGAGTGATGTCGCGCCGCCGCCATAGGTCGCGAAGACTAGCAAAAGCACTTCGAACTTTTGCCATACGGTTTGTGATCTAATCTTCAATCCCAAGGGCGCTGATATAACATCCCAGGTAGCTGAATTTCTGAACGACTTCTAGCAGATCCCCACCAAGTGTCAGCGCAGGAAGCGATCCCTGCCAATCTTGAAGGAACGCATTGCACTTTGATAGTGCAATACAAAGTCCGAAGCGGTTGACAGCCAGTGCTTATCTGTCCAGCGCGACTTGGCACGTCTGGTAGCTGTCACAGATGAGGGAAATGTCGTCTGCATACTCCAAGTCAAGAAGTCGCTCTCCTGTGAGCAGCTCCACACCTTCTAATTCACGTCCTGTAAATACAGTCTCCGTGACTTCGTCAATAGCCAAGGTGAACAGGAAAGGTGATAGCAAACATCCTTGTCTCACACTGCTGGAGATATTACAGGGCGGCGACAGCTTGCCGTAAGCCCTCACTCTGCCCGAGCTACGAACATATAATGCTGGGATAATATTTACATACTTCTCGGGCACGCCTTTCCTTAGTAGACAATTCCAAAAGGCACATCGATCAATCGAATCGAAGGCACCTTTGACGTCTAGGAACATGACTACGGTGGGCCGAAACATATATGTGACGGTGCTTCAACCACTGACGCAATGTGAAAATGTGGTTGATGCAGCCACGACCCCGACGAAACCCGGCTTGAATTTGGACCATACTTTTGGTATAAATAAATCTCCACCATTTTGATTACTTGAAACACATCCGAGATGGTGAGTTTTCATTGTGACTCACTCCCAAATAGTTCCTTTATTATCTAGACCCTTCGGATAGAAATAGCTGCAAATGAAACTCTTGATTTATTGGTTGATGGCTGACACTCTATTAAATAATTCACTGGGCTTCGTATTGCCGCTGGGTCAATCGTTGTTTCTAGACTCCAACGGCCATCAATCACCAAGCACCGACTTCCACTCCCAGATCCATCTATCTCTGCATGAAGAAATCGAACAAGGGGGAAAGCGACTGTAGAGTATGATGTTGGGAGCGATCAACACCAGAAACCACGATAAAATCATGGCATGTTTTAATGTGCGTCGACCTCTAGAGTTTGGTCTGTAGGAGGTCAAATTTTCAAGGTGTGGTCGTTACGTTCGTCGCTCGGTTCCTAGCTCGAATGTAGTTGCTTTAAATGGCCAAATGAATACTAACCGGTCCTGGTATGCCGTGCTGGGGTGGAGCAAAACCTGAGACAAATCTACTTCAGCTATGGTCTTCGTGATAAAATTGGCCGAAAGTTCCTTTTAAGTAACTAACGATTAAATTGGGGCTGTCTACATCTAAACATATAAAGCAGATTACATCACTCAGCCATAACAAGTTGTGATCCATTAAAGGTTTCAAACACTGTTCTGATTTCCATCGAATTATTGCATCTTACCAATCACCCTTGGTGATTTAATTGATCCGTTTTCATTCTGTTTTCACGTCACCAGGGACAACATGGTTAGTATTCGATTCAAAGGCAAAAAATTCATCGCTCAGCTTAAACATCCTGCGGTGAGTACTGATTTTATCGTAAAACTGAATGAGTACTTTCAACTTAAGTGATGTTGGATGCTTCATCTCCCTTATCCATAGGTCAGATAGGGGAAACCTGTCAAGTACGCCCCCAGCACGCTTGATCATTGGGTTGAATGCCAAAAGACTTGAATTTATTAAGTGTATAAGAAGACGAAGGTTGTGGGATAACACTGTCCTTTCATACATGCTCTTCGGCCCATCTACATGCAACTAACACTGTAACAGATCCAAGTTTACTTGTTGGCGGTTACATTCCTCAGTAATAAATCGACCACTACCCATATCGAGCGTTGTTTTACCCCGCATCCAATGAACTGGACAAGATCCTTCGAAAATAACCAATGACGCAGTATGTGCAACACCTGGTTACCATCACCTAGTACTCGGCTGCGTCTAAGTAGACCGGATAACACTCGAGTTGAATTCATCCGATACAAATCAGAATCTGACATGCGGTGTCCCGTTGGAATGTTGGAAGTCAGTATGCTGCGTCAGTTGACAATTTGCTGACCTACACTTGACAAGTCCCGCAAGATGTATTCCGAGTTAATGTGCAACAGACTGGATAGTTTTACTGTGACTGCCACCTCACGTACTCTTCTAATAAGTCCATAACATAACACAAATAAGCCTATTGGTATCCATCTGCGGTTTTCGTGGATTGCATAGACAGGTCACCGTGTATGTGTTTGCTACATCCACCGCAATCATTCGTCTTCTGATTTCCTTGCAAATCAGTCGACTTGTAGGCTCGAAGCTCATTGACAACCAACTGCATAACAAGTGGCGCTGCCGCCCGAAGAGAGCACTTCCACTGCTGTTGATACAATTAAAATTGGGTTCAAAACATGGTAACCTGTTGCTGGAGAAGTTGCGTTGCACATCCCTGTGCACAATACACCTATCACGGAAGGCACAGCGACTCAAGCGCCATCATTTGTATGCGTGGTATCGGTGGTAGCCGCCCCCTACCCAATTTATATCAGTGATTGATCGGTACTACTACTGAAGAAGAACCAGAGTGGTAGTGAAATGCGCGTGTCAGTTTAGGATGTACATTGCTTTTGTATTCATTGAACATTCTGACGACCCTTGAGTATTGCTACGCTGATCTGCTCACCAGCGGAGAGCATGGGTGTTGAAGTAACGCGGAGAGGCTGCTGGCTGGTAGTCGACAACATCTGCTGCCATCCTTTCTGGACCTTGTTGGGAGGAAAGCCGACAAACTTACAGACTTCGCATTATGAACCTATATTGGTGGTAAAAGTCGTCATATTTGTTTGTGGTACGTTTCTGCAAACTTCACAGTGCGATCCAATGCCGTTTCTTTGAACCAGGGTGCAAATAGAAAGGTTGAAAGCACCTGGATTCAGTAAAAATGCTCAAAGATACATGCGAACCAGTGCGTATTGTACGGGCAGGATATTTAACGAAGTTTATTGTTACACACATATCATATGCACTTCCCGACGAATATTACTGTAACTGCTGCAGCTACTTGGACGACTCCTGCGATCAAATCGGTTGCAACATTTGACGAAACGGTGTTGATAACCATGGTATTATGTGAGCTCGTCGCTTATATGTCTAAGCACATCCAGAGTTGTGGCAAAGCTGGCGGCATCCGGTTTCGGATTTGCATGTCCCTGTGACCAGCCACAGGAAGCCAGCGCCTACAGACGGACTATGGGTGACTTGAACTGCACGACCCATAGCTCCATCTATTCAAATCATATCCAGTGTAAACCAGAAGGAATAAGACCGGGTGGCATGTAGATGAGAGCCAATATTGATTCGGAGACGACTAGCAGTCTTAAAAAGCATCAAGGAAAGCGAATCAGCACTTTGCTATCCTGCGTATAACGTTTGGGAAGTTCGAAGCCTCAGTCTTTCCGAAAATGACGGCGCGTAAACGAGGCTGCACGCAGAATAAGCCACCCGAGAGAGACAACCCTGGTAGAAGCACGACCTTACTTTGCTCGATACTGCACAACGCAGGACGACGAAGAACGTCACAGGTTTGTCCCGCTTTCCCTACTCACTCAGGCTAAGAACGCTAAAAACGTACACCAAATTTATGCGGGTCTACAAGCAGATCACTTAATACTGTATCAGATCGTAGGAAACCCTAAGCACACATGCCACTCTAGTTTGAAACACAGCTCTAACACACCTCTGAGGGGATAAACAGTTGAAGTTGTCAAAGCAATATCACCGACTGGATTGTCGATGAAAGTTGTTCTCTCTCCGAGTGCCACAGCTATGGAACTCACTCCAGGCGCATGTAATTTATGCCCCCCCTCACTTAACATTATACAAGAAACGTTTTGACAATACATTAATGAATTTACACTGCATGATATATCTCTTGACTATCAGATGGTGGCATTAGTGCAAAACAAACAGGGGACGGTGTTATAATCCTCACAAACTCCGGGTGAGAATACTCACACCTGTGCTATTCTAAACCTCGGGGTGACTCATGCATCTCGGGCGATTACTTTTTTTTACCGACGCTGGTATTTTATCACGCAGTTTTTACCCTAACCATCCTACGGGTTAGACTTTACTTTGATTTCATACCCATTATAAACCACTGGCCCATTGCAACATGGACAGCATTCACATGAATAGGGGGTTACGTTCATGCCATATATATGCGGGGAAGTGGATCGGCGTTAGCTGGTTCCACACTGGATGGATCAACCCTTTGGGCCTAGCAATGCCATGGAGACCATGCAATCTGTCTCCGCCAACAAAGATAAGCAGTCACCTGAAGCCAGTAAGTGAAATAATGGCTTTGAATGTCGCATCAAACACCGCCAGACTTGGGATATTAACCGAAAATCACTGTCTGATACGTGAAATGCAATTATATATATATATATATATCATATCCTCAAGGAACCTGTATTGAAATGGATTTGACGCTAGTTTGACATACTGATCACTAAAGCATTGGAGATGCTAGGTTTCTGGTAGTGCTTCAGAAGAACTGAGCATTGACCTGAAAGTGGTTAGCCCACAATGCTTCCACCATTAGTGGAACCTGAGTTGCATGTGTGCCTGAGCGTAGGGAGCACATATGATTAGTTCATAGGCGCACGATTACACACCAAGAATGGGTAGCGAAAGAAGTTTGCTCAGTCACGTGAGGAGTCTATGCGATGTTCGGACGCAGCATCCTAAGGCTAGGTGCGCTTGGCTGAAACACATGATCAACGAGATGGATGGTTAACGCTTTGTGGCTTCACTCTTCCATGATATACCGGAATGTTACAGGCCAGAATGTTCTTCCCAACTCAACGTTGTCGTTAGCAAGGCTGATCCTCCTCTCCCTCGTTTGAGAAGCGGTGCTAAGTTATCGCTCATCATTTTGCATGTACAATCTTCTTGGGACAGAAAGCACCTGTTCAAGGATTCAGAAAATATAGATCATCAGTCTAATCCAATGAATGGCTTTTTTCGTTCGGTGCTGTCTGAGCAGGCAATTACTTCCATCGATATGCACAAGGATGGTGGTACTTAGGTTGAGCCTGATAATAAATGCAATCGGTAGTGCTCTGTGCTACCGAAAGTCGCGTATGCTATCATTGCGGATTCGTTGATGAGCTCCCGAAACTCTGCAGTGCGATTGCACCGAAAGAAAGGTTATGCTAACATTTCTCAAGGGACACGGGCCTGTTGTTGGCAAGCGGAAATCAGAGAAAACGGCGAATACTGGGATGGGATTCATCATCATTGCTCACACGTGGTACCCGAAGTCGTTCAATCTAGCGCGCCATCCCATAATGCTCGAATAACTGCGAATTGATGGCGGTGCCCAATTAATCACAGGCAAATGGGTGTGAGAGTCCACTGTGCGACACAACTCATCCGCAACGTCCAAAGATAGGAATGTATCCAACCTAAATGTCCATAAACGACTCGGCAGAATTGACTACCAAAGTTTTCTGGTAACTTGCAGTTGACTCTGGCAGTGGTTTGCGATCAATGGGTCGGAAGATCCTACAGCGCTCAAAGCGCTGATGAAACTGCGCCCCCCCAGTTAGACGGTACATCAAGCTCATAAACGCAGCGCATATTTCTCTCGGTTGGCCACACCGGCTTCTTTGTTTCTAGTTACTTCAGCAAATCTAAGTATGACGTGTGCACAGAGCTCACAGAAACAAACCTTTTAAGCAGAGTCGATATCTTGTTCAACGCTATGCATTAAGTTATCAAATTAATCAGGCCATCTTCCAAGCTGGGATCTGATGGCAATTCACCAACCACCATTAAAGTAGAAAGACCTGATATACCATTGCTACTGATGAGCAAGTTTACTCTATCGCTGGAATCTGGCCAATTTCCAGACCAATGGAAAACGTCATTTATTTTGCCTCGGCATAAAGGAGGTCCCAAAAAAAACGATTGATAACTACCGACCAATCCACCACACTCCGATAGTCGCTCGGATATTTGAAAAGCTGGTCAGAATGAAGATGATGACCTTTGTTGATTCTATTGGCTTGATCAACAATTCGCAGCATGGTTTTTTCAATAAGTGATCGTGCACCACCTGATAAGTGCATTACCTTAATCACACTTCAGAATCAATCGATTCCGGCTATACAGTAGTAATCTTGTTTCTTGACATACACCAAGCGTTCGACCGAGTACCGCACAAGCGACTGCTACAAAAGGTGGAGAACTTTGGGATCCGAGACCCATTACTAGGTTAATTATCGTCATACCTGAGTGATCATCATCAGGTTGTCACTCTAGGTGATTATCGCTCTTCCCTAAGCTCAATCACCAGTGGAGTCATTCAAGGGAGCGTGCTCTGCCCCTTACTCTTTTTGCTCTATATCAATGACATCACCATATCTGTAAAACATTATACGTCATTTTTTCTTTGCTGACGATATCAAAAGCGTACATAAGTTTCAGCGTGATGAGCTTCACGGGACATTACTGCTCATTCAAGATGATTCACATCCCCTTAAGTCATGGTACTGCACATGGGTAACGAAACTCTCGGCTAA